CCCCCCCCCCCCTTCCACTGAGAATGTGGATGTGGGAAATAAGATTTATTTACCAATTTCGTAAATCGCATCTTCTGTTTTGTCCAAGATCCTTCTACCAATTCTCTATTCTTCTTCCCACACGTTTTCTCGTAAATTGGTTGAGAGAATTTGAGGGTTAAATCAGCATAGTCCAAGTTGGTAAGGTGATCTATGCTCACCATTATTTTGCTCAGTAATGAATTGATAATGCAAGCATAAGTTTAGTTAATCGCCTTTTGGAGGTATGGTTGCTAAAAAATTGTTTTTTAATTGCTGATCTAATCTGACTGTCATAACCTTTACCTCTTTTTAAACAGAGAGAGCATTTCAGGAATGAATTCGCCCCACCGCGGGTTCTGGAGGGACGCCACACTGACGTCAGAAAGAAAACCAAGAGAAAGAAAAAAGTCGTTGTAGGCCGTGGCACCGAACTGTGGATGACAGACAGTGAAGACGAGGGAGAAGAAGAAGCTCGGGAAAAGTCTATCAAAAAGACTCACGGAAATTGCTTTGTAAAGGGAGAAATCTTAGATTTGACCACTGGTCCCAAATTCAGCGATGGATATTTGCAGAATAGCTTGATTAATCCTAGCGGGGAATATTCCGACGTGCATGCTTTCGCTCGTGCTCATCCCCATTTATATTACTCTTCCATTACAAATAACGAGAATTCGAAGTATTTCAGTGAGCTTGCACGACCTGTCACCGCCCCTGAGAGTGTCAAGCGATCAGCTCCCCCCATACTGAATAACATGCCAAGTCAAATTCCCGAGCAAACGAAGACAGGTTCGACCAGTAGCGACTTGTACCCGAAGTGGTTCCGATCAGCCAAGCTTGGAGAGAATCATAGGCCTAGTACAGCACTTTTGGATTTGCAAGACCGCTGGAGTAAAACTGAAGCTCGTCGAAGATTTCACGAGCAGTTTCCTGAAAACGCACCAGACATTCGTCGAAAGCCAGACATGCGCATTACAACGAATGAAAGAAGACATGTTGTCCCGGAAAGTGGTATTCATGTTTACTATTTCCACCGTTGAAAATGTGACTAGAGTGATTTTGAAAGACAAGCGTTGTGTTCAGAGAAGCTTTTATGTAGCTTATATTTCACGTGTGAGAAACAAAGCTTCATTTTTGCGTTTTGTGACCTCCGTCAATGAAAAGTTCAGCTTCTTTTCGGTCGTGGTCATTAAGAATTAATGCGATGTTTCGTGAACAATTACGTTGCTTTAACTCAGAAGAAAAAAAAAAGGTCATGAAAATTGAAATGAAACGGTAACATGATATAAGACTTGGGAAATAAAAAGTAATATATTGTAACTTCTAAGCTGGTCTCTCTATTTATCATTCTTATAAACTCGAAAAAAAATTAATTTGAACATGAAGGTGATGAGCTACTACTTTTCCGTGTTTGGCAGAGGGGTGGGGTCGAAGGTAAGGCCAAGGAAGGCCCCTGAGGTAAATGTTACGCTTCCCACCCTCTCTCTGTCTCTGTCTCAAGAAAAGGTTATGGTAGAACAATTTAGCTTACCCCTGGGGGGAGAGAGAGGGGAATTAGTTTGGGGCCTCCCCCACAACTCCGATGTTAAGTCATATGTTGAGGAACTACATTTCTCTTAAATTATAACTTGCCTTCCACTCCTAGTAAGAGCCCGGATATGACTGTCAAATAGGATCACTAGACACCAAATAGTTTGAATTCACAGTACAAAGAATAAAAAATTGGTGTAAACTTGAACGCTTCCGTTTAAATATTGTTTATAGATTAAATTACCTTGATTGGATTTCTTCTCAGTTGTGTTCTGAGCCGGGCGAGTTTGATAGCTGAAAAGCCCCTCAGAAACACTAAATATCCTTTTGTTTACCCGAAATGGGATGGAGACATGTTAAAAGGTCACAATTGAGGTTTTAAAGCTTTTTATTCTTCATAGCCTCTGATATTGAAGACAAATTTTTCTTCTTTATCAATCGAATTTCGGATGCATCCAAGATCTCGATCACCACATACCCTGGATTAGAAAGATCTGGAGCTGAATTCAGTAGTTTCTAGATCACTGGGGCAGGCGATTCTTTAAAAAGTCTCAGCCTTCCGTTTTGTTTTGTGGCTTCCTGTTGTTGGTTAAGGAAGTTCGCTCCTAAAGAGCGCAGGAAGGGGAAGTAAACGGCAAACACCTACGGTGCGCAGACCCCACGCGAAGTAACACATTCGCGAAGTGCGTAATCGCGCGTGGCATTTTCTAATTTACCTAACGATCCCTGCAATGGCGCTTCTGCCATTTCAGTGAGCTGTGGATGGACTGAGTTTGTCTCCACTGATTGGAATCATGAGCGGTGAAAAGTTGGTGAAAGATTTGAGCTACGAAGCTCATTTTCTAATATATAAACTTCTGTTACCACCAGCTCCTGGAAGAGATTGGAAGACTTTGGCTGACAAGATGGGTTATACACAGGAAACAATCTTGTATTACGAATGTTTGAATAACCCTGTGAAAGAGTTGATTTCTGATTATGAGAGCAAGGGAAAGCCCATCTCAGAGTTGTTAACGTTTCTAGAAGAAATGGAGAGGATCGATTTGGTTACAGACCTCGAAAAATACGTAGGTAAGGCTAAAGAGGAGAACTCCTTTATGAATCAACTTAAACACTTCGAGTTTAGTGATTTGATTCGATACACTATATGTTTAACGAGATATATTTGGTGAAGCAACTACGGAGCGCCGCACGAAACTACAGATTTTATTTCAGTTTTTATATCGTAGCCCAATTCCACCCTACAATACACTCTGAACTTTCGTACGCCGATGCCATGGGTTACCTTCACTATAATTACGGTTCGTTTGTCATTGCTCGGAGATAGTTCAGATTTCACCGAATTCTGTCCTTTTAGGTTAAGTTAGTTTGAAAATAAGCGACAGTTGACCGGGTTTTTCTCTTTTTAAGTATTAGAAAGGACACCAGAGATGTGTCTTGGAGTTTGCACGTAAAAATATCGAAATGTCGACATCTGCTAAATTTGAACAAGTTTAGAGGAAGTGAATTGATCAGGACACAGATTTATCGCTTCCTTAGTACACTGTAAACTGGATAATCTTGTGCTTTTGATCAAGATCTTTACAACCCAGGAAAAAAATGCAACCTTTTATCATATTTTTAGCCTTTCAAATACATCGTGGTTATTGGTACATGCAAGCTTCTAAATTATGTCTGGAACAATACAGGCTATTAAATCGATTAGACTGTACAATGCCAGAATGAGGCTTTATTACAGACTTACCAGAAGGGTATCCTGCTTTGGGGCTAATCAAGACCTTTAAAACAACACTCTGTTCACTGTGTTTACCTTTTTAAGGTTAAGTAAAGGACTACCTCAAGTTCTTTGTTGGAGGTAGATCATGCCTGGGACTGCTGAACCTTGTTCTGTAGTATGTTTGAACCTTAAAAACCTCAGGCTTCTCCACCCTAAGGTTATTGAGAAACTCCATCATCCCTCTTACCCCCAGAAATGATTAACATGTAACTTCTCCTTATTACATCCCTTCATTATCTAGCAAACAAGTGAGAGAATACTCAAACTTATCAGGTAGAAATTGTTGTCTTGTTTTAACACCCAATTCTCATAACTGATTCACAAGGAAATGTGAAGGAGCAAGAGGGAGAATCAACAATCAGATCTTAGGACTAAGAGCTTTCACATGTGACTCATATAACGTGCCTCACACAATCCTATAGAGAACCATAAAGAAAGATGCTGTGATTAGGGCTGTGTGGTACATGATAAGAAGTGTAGAAAAAGCCATCTGGTCCCTGCACTCATACAGTTCTGTTTAATTTCTGAGAATGTAAATTATGATTGTGGACATCAGCATGAAATAAAAGAGAAATGAGAAAAAAGGCACATTTTTTAATGAAGGGAAAGTTTCAGTGTGGAGTCCATTATGTACCCTTCATAAGAATGTGATTGCATAATATTTAGGTTCAAGCATAATTTCAAAATTTATACTACTTAAACATATACAAAATAAAAAGATGATTGTTGACTGAGTTCTTCTATTTGGCTCTGAAAGCAGAATAGTGATATCCTCAATCAGATTTTTTAGCATGTTCAAAGACATTTTGCAAAAGGTTTTATTTCTCCTTGAAATCTGAAAATCCATCTCAGCCGTAATCTGTAACTGCGAAGAAATGAATATCTTCTTTTCCACAGGATACTTCTACTCAAGTTTACTTGCAAGAGACTAATAAAGTTGTTGTTGTTGGTGTTTTTTTGGGCTAGAGGAGACACCCACTCGAGAAGAGGTAGAGCAAAGGAAAAGGCTGGAATTCGAGAAGATGCAAGGACAAGCTGGTAAACTCTTTTTATATTCATTTATTTATCAAAAAGTTTCAGTTATTGATTTCTTGTCTGTTGGAACATAGCCCCCAATACCAGATATCAAATTAAAAGAATACATCTTAAAAAAAAAAAAAAAAAAAAAGAGCAATAAGGATTGTAATTCATATTTACTTTAACCCTTTAACTCCCAGGATCTTATTGTTAATTCTTCCATCTAGCTGCTACACATTTCCTTGTAAATTAGTTGCAAGAATTTGGTGTTAGATCAAGATAACAACTCCTACCTGATACATTTGAGTATTCTCATTACCTGTTTGCTGGATAGTGGTTGGATATTGTAGGGAGAAGTTACATGTGAATCACTTCTGGGAGTTAAAGGGTTAACCCTTGACACTCTATATTCTCCATACTATTCTCTCTGCATTTCCTGAAGTGTTGACAAGGAGAATTTGTTTACTAATCAAGAGTTTCTTTGTTTGGTGATCATTGCCTTTTTCTGTGTGAACTTAATGTGTGATTCAGGGGTGATTTTGTCAGGATAAATTTGATTCTAAATGAATAAAGGGGTAAGTTTCTAAAGAAACTGTGGTGCTGCGTCAGTGGGAGAGTATAGCAGGCAATTGTGTCAACAACTGAGTTAAAAAACATAAATTAGCCACCGTAAAGGGCAAAAAAGCTGACTTTTCAAGCATTAGCCCTTTGTCTATTGCTCTGATGAAAAGGCTAATGCTCGAAATGGTGGCTAATTTATGTTTTTAACTCAGTTGTTAACACTTAATTACCTGCTGAATTTGATGCTAGTCACTCCTACAGGGTCAAAGGGCTAAAATGTGTTCTCAGATTGAAAAGAAAATTCTTGAATACAAAATCTTACCACTTTTAGGCTAAACTCTCAAAGATCAATGAATAAAACAGATAGAGTGAAAGAAATCAATTAAAAAACATATTAACATGCAAAACCAAACTTACAAGCCATTGACTTCAAATCCACATCATAGAAAGTTACATCAAATCTTACCTCATTATCAGATATTAATAATTACAAATGTCCCTCAGGCACTGAGCCTCTTTTTAATTAAAAATCATTTGTACACAAAGCGGTCATTGTCAATTAATGTGAAATTTGTTATTTATTTCAGCGGAAAAGCCTAAAACCAGTAAGTTCAAGAAATTTGATACTTCTTGTCTTTGTTGGTATAAACTTTTTGTTGGGGCACATAATTGGATTAAACTTCTTAACCCGAAAAAAATGTTAGAGACAGCAGATTGTTGAAATGAACATAATCTAGAGGAGGGAAGTCATCTCCCTTAAAGCTTTCATCAGCTCACCTCAAAGTATTATGATAATTTAAGGGTTTAATTTTTTTTTGATTGAAATTATGATTGGTCCAGGGAATAATGAATCCCCTTGTTATCACTATTAATGGATTTATTTTTGTCAGTGTCTGACAGATATGATGTGTTTATCGCATATGCCCAACCTGACAGACCATTTGCCGATGAACTTGTCAAGAAACTGGAGGGACCGCCATATAACTTAAAAGTTTGTATTGATTACCGGGATTTTTTGCGTGGCAATGATCCTTCAGCAGCTGCGGCCCAGGCCATTGAGAAATATTGCAGAAAAGTCTTGCTTATCTTGTCAGAGAACTTTAACAGATGTGAAAGAGCTGATTTCCAAGCCAACGTTGCGCTAAGCTTGTCAGCAGGTTTGTGTCTCTTGTGTGACTTCTTAACCCTTTCACTGGACCAAGATATCATTTAGTAATTCTCCTTACCATCTTTGATACAGTTCTTATGATTATGTTTCAGAGAATTTGGTATTGGATCAATTACTGATTACCTAACTTATATTTTTTCTTAATTCTCATCACTTGTCTGCTTGATTTTGTGTCAATACTGTGAGTAGAAATTCTGTCTTGGTCACTCATGGGAGTTATAAGGTTTAATTTTTTTCTTGACCTAAAAAGTGTATTTGAAAGATCATTATCAGA